TTCCCTCATTTCTGGCATCTCATTTTCTCTTTGTTGTTATCACCTTCATGTGAAAGAAAACTAAACAGAGTAACCAGAAAACTAAACTGAATTTATTCCCATTGTCACACTCACTCACTCTAATACTTCTTCTAATTACATCCCAAACTTCGTCGCTGTAGCAGTAGAAGTCCTAGCTCCTACTCTTAACAATTTTAGCCTTGAGGGTGACAGCTTCATAGCATCAGAGAAACATAGTTGAAGATGTTATTCTTATGAAGGCAAAGAAATCTCTTTAATACCAAACGTTCATTCTTTGGGCAGCTTTGAAAATGTGGAGACAGGCTTTTTGTCTGATTCAATACCCATGAAGAGTGGCAGGGACAGCACTGGAGTGATATGCTCAGCGAGCAGAGCTAAAGAGGTGATGTGCAGCATCTTCAGCTAAATAAAGTTGCTGTTAAGTTCAATGTGCTCATCTGCTGTTAAACATAACAGAACATTGCATTTACTAGTGGAAAAGTCTGCATGAATTGCAGGTGTCGCCCAAGACAAACCTTTACATTACTCTCAATCCATTGCAAAGAATATAGTAATAAGTTTTCTGAAACATATGGTTTAACATATTTGGCCACATATCACTCCTGAATGTATTTTTAAGTGTTAAAATTAAATTTTAGTGTCATTTTGCCTTTATAGATCTAGATGGAATCTGATTTCATATCTACCTCTTCTCTCACCCCAGGGCTGTATCAATTTACAGCCTCCTGAGAACTTCTGTGAAATTCTAATAAGTTTAACTGATCAGGGTTGTTTTCTCTTCTTACCTATCTTCTCATTTATTGTCTGTATCATTTTAAAAAACATAACATCTTCACCAGTCTCTAAAACAGCTGTTCAAAACCAAATTTCCTTTGTGGGCAGGGGTGCTAAGAGGGGAGAGAAGGGAAAGGAAAGTGAAGATAAAAACTTCCTGTTCCCAGTCAACATTAATATGCTATCCTGTCCAAAAGAGCCATTCTGAATGTAAGGCTAATTCTACAAAATAGCCAGTCATTTAATATACACTTAGCTTACAACCACCAGCAAACAATTAGGCAAATTTTTAGCTGAACATGATCATCAGCATAAAATGATGAAGATTCAACTACACAAGATGTAAGAGAGTCTCCGATTTCCCATTGCTTCAGCTAACAATTTATTTTAAACATGAATACCTTCTTGCTGCAAAATGTTTCTGTGGATACCATGCAAAAAATATGTCTCCTTAAAATACTTCAGAAAGCAGAGGCAAATTGTAGGTTACAATCAAAGGATTTGTTTGGTTTGTTGTTTTTTTTTTTTTTTAATCCAATGCTCTAGATACTTCTATTTTAATGTACTACTGCAAAAAGCTTTATTACTAATGACAGAGTTTTGCAACATTATTTATTGCCCAGCTGTATTCCACACGTTTAACTCCCCACCACATGCATAAGCATAGAGCAAGGCACTAGGACTTATAAATAAAAGACAAACTTCTAGTTTTAAAGCTAACTTGAATATGAAAAATTGATATTGCGGTAATAGTTCTCAACTGCAAAGCTGTAACTACTTTACGACGTTGCAAAATAAATGCCAAGTATTCTGAAGCAAACAGATGGAGGGACAGGCTGGTTTGTATATCTAAATGTCTACTGATAATGGTAATGTTCTACAACTGAGCACATGTAAAAAATTACAGTATATTCAGCAAAGTTGGTTAATAGTAACTAGCTGAAGCAAAAACTTATCCCAGACTTCATATTCTAGTATAACCTTTAATACTATCTTGAGCCACATCTCAATCAGGTTTAAGAGAAGAGTATTTTCACA